CTTGTTTAGTAAACCCAGAAAATGGAGAAAATTGCCTCCCTGCTTCTTTGATCTAAATGCTTATTCAGAGGACCTCAGACAGGGTCTGTTCCCAGTTTTTTTTATTAAAACTGCTCCATTAGTACTTGCACCTTGACATGTAATTGCAGAAATTGGCTGTGCATCTCCAGCGTTTTTAGGTACAGTGGCATGACATAGTGTGAAGGTATAATGTTATCATCCATTTACACAGCTTCTAATAAACAGATTTTTTTTCCTTGTAAATAAGTTAATCTAACAAATAGAAAAAGGGTTTAATAAATCAATAAAGAATACCAAAGATCCCAAAATCTCTCCTTGGTGAGGACACATCTTGATGGAGAATGTATGTGTATGGCACCGAGAAAGCTAAATTCAGAGTACACAGAAAATAAATACACATCAGACCAGTATCCCTAGCACTGCTGTCATCTCCATGTCATCAATTTCAAAGGAACTAAGTAAGTCTGAGCCCAAATAACTACATGTAACTGTTTTTTAATTGTGTAATGGCCATCCCCCAAGGTCTCAGTCGCAGGCCGGGATACACAAAGAAAACCAGATAGCACCCAATGACCAAAGTTAACACATTTCACATCTTCAGAAGAACAGGTACGGAAAGCAGTACTCCAGAAACACCAGGAGAATCAGTCAGGTACCATTGTCACTGTACGGTGTCCACTCTGCCAGCAAGCATCCCAGGGAACATTATCCTGAGACACACAGCAGATGTGCTTGGTTCAGCTCTTAGACTGCTCTGCCTGGATGAATCTACTGTACATATCAAAGCCAAAATGCTGTACTTCAGACCTGAGTGAGAGCAGCGTCATGCTCAGACACACAGAGACACAGGAAAAGCTTGGCACTTCAGACTGGAAAACATTGAGCACATGATGAAACAGATATACAGACAAAAGTGTGCAAAACCTCCCAACCTGTTTGTCACTTGGTCATTACATTAAAGTATATTTCATGTCCCCTGTCCAAAACCAGTCTCTTACAGAAATTAGTGTTAAACTGCACATTTCACGTTCAGGCAAATGTCTATCTTTTTTAACGGACATCTCATTATGTGGCTACAAGAAAACTTCCAGATCTTAACATGAAAGGAGAACAGAATAAGCCTATTAAGATAGCCCTAACCACTGGTTCCTACTTGGTACGCTAACAGTACAGGTGAAGTGCAGTGCCAAGCGGTTGCAATTTTTTAGGTTTTTCTGAGCCAAGCAGAGTCTCATTAGGGACCTCTTCAAAGATCAGCTCCTCAAAAAGCAAATTGAAATTATCCTGTATGTTCTGGCTACTCGCAGTAGCACCTTTATATTAGGTATGGTTCTTGATTGCTCTCTGTGTGGGCAAATTGCAGAACGTGCTATTAGGGATTTTTCATTTTTACGAAGGATGAGAATTTATTGCTGTTTTTATGCTAACGCATTGGTGTTCTGAGTATTTATAACATACTGTTGCATTTGTTATTAATAGAGCTGTGTACTGGGGAGTGCATAAGAATCAATAAAACTCTCTCACATCTGCACTTATAGTATTCAAGAACAAGATAGAGCATACATAGTCCACAGGGTTTACTTGGGGAGATGCATTTCCTGAGCAATTACATTGTTCTGCCTCGTGTGGGGGTTTTGGATCACTAGTATTGATGGACTGCACTAGCAAAAACAGCAGAAATCATAAGGCAGTGTTTTCTGTGCTGGAAAACACTAAGGCTGAAAGTGAAGACCTCAAGTTCCATCCTCATTATTTATAAGCTACGTGATCTTGGAAAGTCACTTCAAGCCAGACTTCTAAGAAAAGTGAAGGGCCTAAAGACAGTACCTTGGGATTCCTGAAAGAGCCTCACCCTCAAACTCCATGAGAGAGGGCAGAACATGATTCTTAGGCAACTTGTGTAGGGTCAGCAGGGATGGGCATATCTAGGTGGAGAGTAGGATTTGGGAACCCACTGCTCTCATCAACTCTACATTTTTCTCATCTTCCACATGAGACATTACTTTGGTCCTATTCCTGTTACCTAGAGGGATTTCCCAATATTTATGCTCCACCTGTATCGATAAGGCCAGAACTGGTCTTTACAGCAGTTAATGCATACCAGGGGCTCCTAACCATCAACAGAAGGGAGGGTACCACTCACTGTCTATGCTTCTTGCATCCATCCTCATTTTTCCTACTGGACCTCCCAGTGCCACCCCTGTGCAAAGCATTCACAAACACACTTTCTACATTTTGGCACAGCAAAGCTACTATAAGACTTCAATCTTCTTTTAGCAAGTCTCCAGCTCTTATCTGGAGAGCGAACCAACAAACCCAAGCAGCAAAGTAATAGCAGAAAATACCACAGGGGTTGTTCACAAACTTGCACCTTTCAGCCACCAGGGAGCACAAAGGATGCTTGCGTCTTCTGCCTGAAGGGATTCTGATGAATGGAAAGTAGGTAGGTAATGCGGAGATTAATAAATATCAAGAGAACCTACACTCAGTCTCTCGACAGAAAAAATTCACATTTGTGGGTGTGGTGGCAAGCAGCGTATGTTCTAGTCAACTCCCAAAGGGGCATTTCCTTTAGAGCCATTTGCATGGCACAGAGACATGGCATTTCTTCTGGGTGCCAGATTGGTTTCAGGCATTTGTGGATGAAAACGCTAAACTATGCAGATAAATTTCAAAAGATGAATGAGCATCTGCACTCCAAAATAATTTATATGCAATAATATATGTTATTTATACACTCTGAAGTCTCTGCGAGCCAAAACATCACCATTTTGTCTATTTTCCAGACTTATAAATAAGACATAGGATTGTAGAGAAATTATATTGGAGTACAAAGGCTCATTTATCTTTTGAAATTTACTTGCATACCCTTTACACTAGGAAAAATAGCACCATCCAGAATTTATACAGAAATAAAATCAGTCAGATGAAAGGCTGTATATGAAGTGTTAAGGTAACATACTCAAATTAAACAAGGTCAGTCTTTTTCAGCATCATTAACCCGCACCATAAGCTAGAAACAACTTCCCAAGTTTAAACTCTCCACATTTAGAAAACAATGCAAAGGCAAGTCTGGTTAGCTTGAAAACTAAGAACTACTCTCACAGGGAGCACCCAGTCTGCTTTTGCTTATACCAGGTTAACAGCCGTGACCTGGAAATTACTGTTCTAGATCTGCATGAATCTAAACAACAGCATAACATGCTGCAGAAAGGAAACACCTGCTCAGGCATTAGGAATCTGTGAACTTTAGGACATACTCACTGTAATAACTGTTTCTAATTCTGTAGCTCATCTCCAGTATGTGTCCTCTTGGAAGGAACTTACACAACACACTTGTTCGTTACCAGTAAATACAAAGTCAACTACTTAGAACCGTACACTTTTCAGTTACAGCATTTAGGAGGAAACACTTCATAAGCTTTCTCACCCTTAATTTAGATATATTTCAATTTTTCATTTAGGCAATAAATCTGAAGGCTGAAGTTTTGATTCCTGTGTTCTTCCCTTAGCCATCACCCTGTTCTTTCTTACACAGTCCAATCTTTTATCATGTGTCACATATTGTGTTCTCTCCTTCATATTTACAGAGCAGATCCACAACTTTAACAACTCAGGTAGGGCTACAGCTCTTAGACCAGCTGAGAACCCACACGAAAACCTGTCCTACTGCTACTTCACTTCCTTTCAGCCTGTCTCCTGTGTTTGAAATACTCTGCTCTCAGTAAGTCTACATTGAAACATCTTCTAAAGGCTTCCACATGTCAGTTTTTCGGTAAACGAAAGCATTCTGCACATCCTGTAGGATACCATGACAAAACAAAACAAAACAAAATGCATGTGTTCTCAGAATACCTAAATCCAGAGCCACCAAGCATTTGGTCCAGATATTAACAGCTAAGCGAAGTTATGCCTCATTTTCCCCAAATTGCTCTTTTTTACACTTTTTAGCCTCACTTTTCTCCTGAACTTAATCGCACCATTACCTTTACTGCAGAAACTGCACTGGGATTTCTTGCTTTCATAAGCAAAGGTTAGCTGAGTTACTTAAAACTGATTAAAAATATACCAAATCTTGAACTAAAATGATGGATTTAAAACATATTTATTTTTAAAGAGAAAAGTAAAGGAGGAGCAATTACTCTTGGTAAAATGAGACAAATCAGCAGACACCAAAGTACTTCCTAACTGTGATGATTATGATGGTTGTTGAACTTGATTGAAAAGCAAAGAGCGTGAGAAGGAAATATCAAAACAACTGAAAAAAATTCCTATCTTCAATAGAAAAAAATATGAAGTAGTCAACACTAAAACCTAGATTTTACTAGTCACAAGTATAACCAGTGGTTATGTTGTCTTCCATGCAATGCAATCCTTTAGATATCTGTTCTGGTCTGGTTAAAACAGCTCGGTATGCTAAAACTTCTACTGTGAACCGCACAGATAAATAACTGATGTTTAAGTGCACCCTGGGATGAAAGCTTTATAGATCCAGAAACATTTTTCATCTGCTCAGTTCTGCAGCACATTCCTACTTTAGGCCTTCTGGCAACATCTCACGCGGCCACAGCCAGGGAGCTCCCAATCCACCAGCCTGCCTTTGTATTTTTCCTTTTCTGCAGATGCTATAATCTATTCTGCACACGCTTAGTACCAAACAGCAAAACCAAAGCCTGATAAAATGACAACAGAAGATAAAGCATTTCTTAAAATCCAAACAGCCAGAAGCAAACATAACTACAGTATTTCTATGCCTCTGGCTGTGAGGCAATACATAAATAGAGAAGTATCTCATTTAAACTATTCAGTTGAGCTTGGTATCCAAGCCCAAGCAAACTGTCTTCTAAGGGTAATCTTTTCAGTACAGAAAGAACCTCTACAAACTCAAAACAAGTACTTTATGTGTATCCTTTGCGCTAAAAAAAATAAGTAGAAAATATCAAGGCTCAGATGCCATGCATTTGTCTGGTGACTCATACCATGTAGCGCTGCCTCTCCTCATAGACTGGGTGCCTCTTAACATAACTGCTCCAGATCCAGCTCTGTAAGCAACTTCAGTGGGTAAATGCACAGAGTTGCATGCACACAGACACTGGTGATGCCTTCACTCAGCCCTAAAGGCTCAGCTGACTAACCACAGGAAATCAGAAGTTTGGGGCCTAGAAAAAGAAAGGTGAAGATGACATGACACAGACAAGAACTACAATACCACAGAGGTTGATAAAATGAAACACAAAGCTAAACAGGATATGAGTAACAGAGTAGAAGTCTTCTCGAACACTGTTCCTCCCTCAGTACAAGACAGAAAAAGACTGCCAGGATGTCCCCTACAGTCCAGGCTACTTAGAGGCCACACCACGCTATGAAGTTCTACCCGGAGTTTCAGACACTAAAACCTCCTGTAATTAATCAGTCATAAAGAGAAAAGGACAAAACTTGCACTGAAAAACTACCCCCACTGACATCACTGGAGCAGATTTCAACTTTTCACTATACCAGCCTGAAAACAAAAGCTGCCTGACTCCCCCTCCACAAGTGCTGTCCCCACTGGCAAGTGACTGCCAGCACACAGTAAGGATATTCCAGCTGGTACAAGCACATTTTCTAGTTCCCTTGTTAGAATCCATTTAAGCATACCATGAAAGTAGCTTCCATCTCCCTAGCCCTCAAGTAAGAAAACATTTATTTGGACAAGATATTACCCTAGGTTACAACGAAATTCAAAACAGAACAGCTTCTTTGGGTTCTTGCTGAGACAGATCAGGCAATCTCTTGAATATATTTTTCTCATGCACATTAATATCACACCCCAGTGGGGGACATCTCAAACAGCAAAGCTCCTGACACTGCTCAGCATCTATGCAACCCAGGTGAGACACACCTGATAAAGGACACCAGGACAAGCAGGTGTGGTCAGGGTAAGAGGAGGATGCAACAGGCATTTCTTCTTGACAAGATGAATGGTACCTGCAACTCAGGTATTTCGTGCCAATTGTGAAAAGCAATCACAGCAGTAGTGCAAAGATTATTGTACTGTTTGCAAAGACTGATTTGTCTTGATTGTCCATTTTAGAAGTTGGGGACTTCTTGGTTGGGGATTTTGTTTATTCTCACACTGTAAGAAAGAAAACATGGCTGAGAACACCTAGTTGCTCTTAGAAATACATAAAGCTTCCAGCCTTGCCAATAATGCTCTTCATAGTTTTACAATAGCTATGAGAGGATTACTGCCTGCATTTTACAGTTAGGAAGCTCAAAGAAAGAGCAAATAGGACTCCAAACCTATTCATTTTTATTATTGCATCCTGTAGGTATTTCTAGTGTGGGAAAGGAACCAGGAGCGCACAGCCAGCATCATCCAACATCTAAAGAGCTACCATTTAGATAAGCATGCAAGACAATGCACAGTGAATTGTATCAGTCACTCCTCATCACTCTGCTTGTTGCCCTCCATGGTCTTGCCTTTGGCTTCCAAGCCTAGGAAGGTGCTATACACCTGCCTGGATACATCAGCCCTTTACCCCAAGCAGCAATCTCAGAGGTTGCTGCCCCACTGCAATGCTTGGGTGTAGTCACAAGGCAGGTGTGTCTGCAGAAAGAGAGTTAAACTAATCTAAAATCAAACTTGCTTTTAGCAGTGCATGGCTACTGCAGTGTGATTTGCATGCTGGTTTCACATCCAGTGTCAAGGTTGGAGTTGCTGCGGTTCAACTACCAGTTGCATTTGCTGGCTGAAATACTATCTCTTCATCAATAGCTCTCAGCCCTCCCACTGCAGCAGCCATCTCACCTTCCCTCCCTCCCCCTCATTTTGACAGCCACTTCTCTGCAGAGAGGATGTTGTCTTCTCATTGGTGTGTTCCTGGACAGCTATGATAACCCAGAAGGTAGAAGACTAAGACCTACTGACCCAGCTCCACGCAGGCAAGATGCAGACAGAACAGACTACAGAAAATGCTTGCAGCAGCCTGTGGCACTATTTGTGGAATGCAGTCTGGCAATCATGGGTTCCTGCCATCCCTGCCCTTCCCCAAGGCCAGAGCAACCCCAGCCCAGCCTCAGCCTCGTCCATGGTCTTCTTACACCCCAACACTGCTGCTCTTCACCATCCTTTCCACCCTTCCAGATACAGTCCACACTCTGCCCTCTCTTTGATGATGCTTTCATCTGATTATAAACTCTTTCAGGCAAAGATGATCTTTTATTATGTGTTGGTACAGTGCCTAGAAAAATGGGGTTCTGATCTCAAGACACTGCTGTAATATAAATAATAATAATTCACTACTACTTGCCTTCAGTAGCTCCAGGAGTTTCACTGGGAGATGGTGAGTCATGCTAGCATGCCTTTCCACAGCACAGAAATAAATCACTTTTGCACATTCCAGTATTTTTGGGAGATGGAAAAGGAGGGAGGAAATGCAAAATGAATCTAAAACACATTTGATTCTTTAAATTTATAATAAATCCAAGTGATTTACCAGAACGTAAAATTCTCACATGCAGAGTCAAGGACAATATTCTATTCATATGCAGGAGTCATTTATTCATTTATAATTAGATAAAATGAACTGCAATTTTTTAAGAAAAAATTTGCATGTGGCAACAGTAATGTATTATGGAAGGGTGGCACTCTGTTACATCCATTTGTTAGTCAGGACACTGGAGCTGCAATTTAATAGACAAGAAATAAGTACAGTAGAGGAAGGGAAAAAATTAAATTCCGCATGATCAGCAAGGTTTCGAACAATCGCTAGCCAACTGAAGTGGGTGCCATATCTATAAGTCATTTTGTTTTATAGGCCATTAGGATCTCCTGAGAGAGGCTGCATGGAGACCGCTGCTTTTTGTTGAAATTAAAATGTCAGAGAAAAAGAAATAGAACAAAACAGGGAATCTGCAATTAATTACAAGGCCATAAAAATTCAATAATCAGGAGGCAGTGCTGCTGTAGGCACAGCGGTATCTGATTCAGGCTAACAGGAATGGAATACATTAATCTTTTCAAATTAGTTTTTTAATCTGACGGGGATATATAGTGACGTGTTCTTTTACTGTTTGAGCAGAGCTGCTGTCTAATATATAATGCTGAGTGTCTGGAATTAGGACATCTATAGCCGTTTTGTGACTACAACATTTTCACGGCATTTATTCAACCTTATCTGTACACCTGTCCTACAGTAATCAAGAAAAACATGTTCAAAGTTCACATCCCAGATACTGTTTAAGAAAAAGACTTCACATGCTAGGATTAAGACAAAATACAAGGCCCCCAAACAAGCTTGTACAAGGCTGCCTGAAATGACAGTCTACTCTTCAGGATATATCATTAGGCTTTGAAACTGTGTTGCCTGTCCATGTTCACAGAAATTCACTTTTGTTATTTTCTTTTATTATTATTATTTCAAGTGATCTGCCAATGTTGTCTTACAGCTTCCAAGTTTTGTATGCAGTAAAGCCCTAAGAATTCCACAAGTTCTTGTTTTACACTTTCAATATCCATAACATCCCTCAGAATTATTCTTCTTGTGGTGAACGTTTCCCCACTCTTCCTGGTGGCCATCTTAAAAAGCACAATACAGATTGCTACATGTGAATTGAAAACCCAGGAATGGGATATTTTCTGGCTACCTATTACCTAGAATGAGTGTTCATCCTCAGAGTTTGTAGTGATACACAGAAATTATTTTGACACCACTTTTTTTTTTTTTTTTTTTTTTTTTTTTTTAAGATAAATCTCTCCCTCTCATTTGCTCAGCTTTACTCTCTAATTTTACTTAAATTACATAATTTTCTTGAATTACCACTGGATGTAACTAGAGAAACCTTCAAAGTGAATGAAAAAAAATAGTAACCTGTTCCCTTTTTCCTACTTGTCTAAATACTTTTTATCCTTTGTGTAAAAAAACCTCTGAGAGACCACTTCTACATTCCTCTATCACATGATGTGTGGTAGTTTTTAAATTATTACTGAATTCTCACACTTTATGAGAAGTCTTTAAAGAGACTTGAAAGCAACAGCAATACAATTAAGGCCTACTAGCTCAAAACTTTCCAACATGTGGATGAAATCATGGCCACTCTGATGATCAGATGATCATTAAAAAGACTAAGCTCAGGTTTGAATTAGACCTTTGGTTAATTCTATTTTTACAGATTTTTAAATCAAATTTCAGTGCATTCAACTTGAAAAGTGGTTTTTCAATTCTTTATGGCACTTGCAGATAGAGTAACATCATTTATGCATTCATTGCTTTTTCCTGCAAGGCAGGATAAATAGGCATGGATGTATCCTTTTCACGGATCCTTCAAACAGTTAAATAACATGTTGATGTGAGGGTAGATGAAAGAAAGAGAGAGGGAGCAACTAGGCAAGACCTAATACTGTAAGACAGGCTTTGCAGATTAAAAGAAATAGTTGCTCCATTTAGGAAAAATATTCCAAGCTGGGAAGGACAGAAAAAACTTCCTGCAAAAAGCATTCATCGCTTTTGAGGCATCAGTTTTCTTTTCAATTACTATGATAGCAGAACTCTGCCTTATGCAGTTAGTTTATCTAACACCCATTTTCTATGAATGTATCACTCATATGCATGCAAAAAGCATATTTATATCCAGAGGACAATGGAGGGCACAAGTTTAACTGCCGAGGTCATCAACTATCATCAGTATTACTGTAGCAAGAATCTCTCCCTACATCTCCACACTGAGTAGATCTGTCCTGACTACTGTTTCTTGATCTTTAAAAGCCAAACACTTTAGTAGTTTCAGTGTGAGATAGCCATATTCTGTCATCATAATTGTCCATATGGAATTCCTCTCATCTGAAGGGGTCCCAAGGTGCAGTTTCCTGAGTCTGAAAGCCAGATGTAACGATAATATACTCATTAAAATAGTTGAATGCAGCACCCATTTCTCATTACAAGATGCTAGTCTCCAACAATTCTGACCAACAAGAGAAGAGCACTGCACAACAGAAATTTGAGGCAGAATTCAGGCAGGTGTAGTTTCCTGAGTAGTGTGGTACTCACTTATACCACCATTATG